AGCATTTTACTTGTAGCTTAAATTAGCTTATTCTTAATAAAATGATAGGCAAGATCGCCTAAGTTTAAAAAAAAAAAAAATATATATATATATTTACTAATTATTAAAAACGAAATCATTAAAATTTAATATAGAACTATTTTTACTTATCATTATTTGTAAATTTTTTAGTGATTTTTCTTAGAGGTTTGCTTTTCAATAGGTCTTTTATCACTTTTTAGTGGTCTTTATATCATTCTTTAGTGAATCTTTGTCAAACAGTAATTCTTCAGTTATTTTATCATTAGTTGATATAGCTGTTTCCATAAATTTTAGGAAACTTAAAAAAATTTCTTTTTCTGAAATCTTCTTGATCTTATCCTAAGAATCATTCAACTTTTCAGAAACTACATCACTATTCTCAGAACTTTAATTCAAAGACAGTAATATAGTTTCTGAAAAGTTAGATAAGTCTTAGGATGGAATTAAGAAGATTTCAGAAAATAAAAATTTTTTTAGGTGTTTCAGAATTTATAAAAATAGCTGTAAACTTTCTTTTTATATTTGTAGTATTTTTTTATGAATTTTGTAGTCTCTAGTCTTTTTTCTGATCTTCTAATAATTTATTTGTTTTCTAATATATTTTTTTTTTGCTTTTTCAGTTTTTTTACTAATTAATTTTTTTTATCAGATTTTTGGTATTTTCTAGTAAATTTTCTTGTAGTCTCTAGTCTTTCTTCTGATTTTCTAATAATTTTTTATCTTTAATCTTTTTTTTTTTAGTCTTCTGAGTTTTTTACTAATTAATTTTCTTTAAGTTTTAGTATTTTTTGATAAATTTCCTTACAGTCTTTGGTCTTTTTCCTGATTTTTCAATAATTTATTTATTCTGAGGTTTTTTTTTTGCCTTCTGGTTTTTTAATAATTAATCTTCTTTAGGTTTTAGTATTTTCTAATATATTTTCTTGTAGTCTCTAGTCTTTTTCTCGATCTTTTGGTAATTTATTTGTTCTAGAATTTTTTTTGTCTTCTAGTTTTTAATAATTAATTCTCTTTAGGTTTCAGTATTTTCTGATAAATTTCCTTGTAGTCTCTGGTCTTTTTCTTGATTTTCCAATAATTTATTTGTTCTGATATTTTTTTTTTTAGCCTTCTAGATTTTTTACTAATTAATCTTCTTTTTTAGATTTCAGTATTTTCTGATGAATTTTTTTGTAGTCTCTAATCTTTCTTCTGATCTTCTGGTAATTTATTTGTTTTGAGGTTTTTTTTTGCTTTCTGGTTTTTTAATAATTAAGTTTCTTGATTTAGGTTTTAGTATTTTCTGATAAATTTTCTTGTAGTTTCTGGTTTTTCTCCTGATCTTTCAGTAATTTATTTGTTCTGAGATTTTTTTTTTGCCTTCTGATATTTAATAATTGATTTTTTTTAGATTTTAGCATTTTCTGATAAATTTTCTTGTGGTTTTTGATTTTTTTCCTAATTTTCTGATAATTTATTTGTTTTGAGATTTTTTTTTGCTTTCTAGTTTTTTAATAATTAATTTTTTTTATTTAGATTTTAGCATTTTCTGATGAATTTCCTTGCAGTCTCTAGTCTTTCTTCTAATCTTCTAGTAATTTTTTGTCTTTAATCTTTTTTTTTGCTTTCTAGTATTTAATAATTAATTTTTTTTAGATTTTGGTATTTTCTGGTGAATTTTCTTGTAATCTCTAGTCTTTTTTCTAATCTTCTGGTAATTTATTTGTTCTAAAGTTTTTTTTTGCTTTTCAGTTTTTTAATAATTAATTTTCTTTATTTAGATTTCAGCATTTTCTAATAAATTTCCTTGTAGTCTTTAGTCTTTTTCTTGATCATCCAGTAATTTATTTGTTCTAAGATTTTTTTTTGTCTTCTTATGTTTAATAATTTATTTTTTTTAGATTTTAGTATTTTATAGTGAATTTCCTTGCAGTTTCTGGTTTTTCTTCTGATTTTTTGATAATTTATTTGTTCTGAAGTTTTTTTTTTGTTTTCTAGTTTTTTAATAATTAATTGTCTTTATTTATTTTTTAGTATTTTCTGATAAATTTCCTTGCAGTCTCTAGTCTTTCTCTTGATCTTCTAGTAATTTATTGGTTCTGAGGTTTTTTTTTTGCTTTCTAGTATTTAATAATTAATTTTTTTTAGATTTTAGTATTTTTTGATAAATTTCTTTGCAGTCTTTAGTCTTTCTTCTAATCTTTTAGTAATTTATTTGTTCTGATATTTTTTTTTTAGCTTTCTGAATTTTTTACTAATTAATCTTCTTTATTTAGATTTTAGTATTTTCTAGTAAATTTCTTTGTAGTTTCTGATCTTTTTCCCTATCTTCTAGTAATTTATTTGTTCTGAAGTTTTTTTTTGCTTTCTGGTATTTAATAATTAATTTTCTTTAGGTTTTAGCTTTTTCTGATAAATTTCCTTACAGTTTTTAATCTTTTTTCTGATCTTTTAGTAATTTATTTGTTTTGATATTTTTTTTAGCTTTCTGAATTTTTACTAATTAATCTTTTTTATTTAGGTTTTAGCATTTTCTGATAAATTTTCTTGCAGTCTCTAGTCTTTCTTCTAATCTTTCAGTAATTTATTTATTCTAAAGTTTTTTTTTTGCTTTCTGGTTTTTTAATAATTAATTTTCTTTAGGTTTCAATATTTTCTGATGAATTTCCTTGTAGTCTCTGGTTTTTCTTCTGATCTTCTAGTAATTTATTTGTTTTTGATATTTTTTGTTTTGGTCTTATATATTTTACAATTAACTTATTAATTTTATAAGTTTTCGATCTTTATTGTTTAATAGTAAATTCTTGTATAATCTTTGGATTTTTCAGTATTTTACTAGTGAATTTTCTTGTAGTCTTTAAGTTCACAAGAAGGTTCACTAGTAAAATACTAAAAGTAGTTTTTTGAGAAGTCTTGTAGTAGTTTCTAATAAATTTTTTGTTTATTTTTTTTGAAGTTTTTTTGAAGTTTTTTTTTGTATAGTAAATAAATTAGAATTAGATTTAATTAAATAATATATTTAAAGATTATATATTTTTAATTAAGTTTTTTAACCAGGTATTAATACTATAAATTTTTGTAATAATAATTTTTGAGTAATAATAATTAAACTTTATTTAGTTTTAATTGTAACATTTATTATATTTGTATTACAATAAAAGTTATTAATATAATCTATATCTTACTTTTTTTTAATTATAATTTTTTTTTTTTTATATTTTAAAAAATTTAATTTTTATAACAATGTCATCACAGAAAAAAAATTTTAGTTCATATACAATTGAAAATTGTTAATATAATACTTTAAAATTTTGTAAATTTACTAAATTTGCTGCTGAAAAAACTTAAAAAAGTAAAACTTTAGATATATTAGAATATTCTCATCTTATACTAAATTAACATTAATTATATGATTATCATTATCTTCTTATTATAGAACCAAATAGAAATTATTCTAAAATTAATAAAGTTTTTCAAAATTTACAAAAAAACAAAAAAATCTTCTAAATTAAAATAAGATAATATTTATTTAGAAATTTTAGATGATAAAATATATATTTCTAAACAAGATTTTTTAAATTTAGTTTCAAATATTAAATATTTACAAGAAAACCAAAAAGATGAAATATTTGAAGAAATTATTGAAGTCTCTGAAACTATAAATGAAAATTTTAAAAATATTGATAAAAATAATATATCTGATAGTATTTAAAAATTAGTATAATATAATATATATTTTAAATTTTATAATTATAATTAATTAAAATTATTATATTTAAATTTATAGAAATTAATTTTGTAACTAAATTATAATTTCTTACTTTAATAATTTATAATCAGCAATGAAAATATAAAAATAATCTAGAATATGATCTTATTAAATTTAAATAAATATTAGAAGAAAATAAACTTCAATTAATTAGATTTTTTGATAAATTAGTCAAAAATCTTATACCAACTACAAGAAGTTTTTATAATCAGAAAAAAGCAAAAATATCTATTGTTTTATTTTGTTATCTTTTTGCAGATTTAAGAAAAAATTTGCAAATAGTTATAAAATAGATATAGAACTTCATTTAGCTTCAGCAGGAACTTTTTATAGAGGTATAGATATTTTAGCAAATACTAAACTTACAGTTTCATCTAAAACTATATTAAGATATAAACAACAAATTGTTGAAAATCATTTTGATAAAATTAATAAATATTTTAATGAACAGGTAAATTATTTTAATAAAAAATATTTATATTATATATAATATATAATTTATTATTTATTTTTATTTAGATTAACTATTTATATATATTTAATCTTAATAATTTTTATTCAATTCATGAAATATATCAACTAGATACAACTTTTCTTTCTTCTGTTAAACATTTTGTAATATGTATTGCTAAAAAAATTAATTTATTAACATCTGTTTTAGCAAACTATGATAATATTTTTTTATTTAATCCAGTTAATATTGATGCAGAAAATCTTTGTGAATATTTATCTCAAAAATATAGTTCACTTTTTGATATTAGTTATAATAATTCAAAATTATAATGAGCATTTTATTCATCTTTAGAATTAAGTAAATTTGATAATATAGATAATTTAACAATTTATTTATATAATGATACTATTTTAGAATATAAAAATGAAAGGTCAATGCAAATTTTAAAACTTATAAATTTTAAAGAAATAAATTTATATTCATTTGAAGATTATATTGAAGCTCTTAAAATAATTATTAATATTCTTTCACTTAATAATTATTTAAATCAAAAATAATTCTAATAATTATAGATTGGTCAAGACAATTATTTATTAGAAAAATTCTTATATATTTAAATATTCAACAAACTGTAACAAATATTTTACAAATTTATAAAAATTTTTATCTAATTATTGGATCTCTTCATATTATATTAAATAGTAAAGAAACAGTATTAATAATTAATTATAAATTTTTTAATCAATTATTTTATTTTGTATTTGGAGATAAAAAAAAATTAGCTAAAAAATCTAAACTTTGGCAAATTAATCTTTTATTAGAACTAGCATATAAAGCTAGCAAAAAATTAAACAAGTAATTTTACAAAAATTTAATTAATATTGTAAAAATGTAGAATATAGAATACTTATTAATTTATTAGATAATATAATTCCTGCAACTTTAGATATTTATGCAATTTTATTTAGATCTGGTTCTTTTAATGAATATTCAGAAAAAATTTTTAGAATTTGAATATTTGTATTAAAATAGTCTAGAAAAAATTATAATAAGGCTTCTTTAGCTTTTCTTTTAGATATTTTTTATTGAATAAATAAAAAACATCCTTTTAATAAAGCAATTAAAAATTATTTGGTTTATTTTAATAATTATTATATAGAAAATATACATAGTAGAATAAGAGCTTATACAACAAAATATTTTACTACAGAAAAAATAATTAGAGAAGTATTTGTTATAAGTAAGTTATAATATAATTAAATTTTTAATAATTTTAATAATTATAAATAATTTATATATATATATATTAGATTTACATTATCATGATCAATTTGAACAAACTTTTCAAAATATTAAAAACTTTACTTATATACAATCAAGTTTAGAATATTTAATTTTTAGATTATCAAGATAATAGTTTTAAATCTTTTTATTATTATCTTCTAGTATTTGAAGTAACAGTATCTACAAAACAACTTCTTTGTAAATATTCTACTAAAAAAATTCCTTCTTTAACTAATTGTAATTTATATAATACTACTTTAAAAAATAAATATCAAGCAGAAGTTTTTATTTGTAAACATAGATATCATACAATATGTTATAATCTTATGGAAAGAAAATATAAATATTATTATGAATATTATAAAACTAGAATTAAATATAATATAAAATCTTTTATAAATAGATTAAAAAAGAAGCTAATATATTAACTAATAAAGATATAGATATAGATAATAATAATAAAGAGGATTAGGTTCTATAGCTTAGTTGGTTAAGCTCTTAACTTTCTACAGACAAGGTTAATAATTCGAGTTTGATTAGAGACATTTGCTTCTGTAATTCTTATAAAAACTATTAATCAAATATGAAGCCTTGTAGTAAAACCTATATGAAGTACAAGATTCTAAAAAAAAAATTTTCAGAAGGAGATTGATATTATAGAGTAAGTTAGTATTATATATAATAGTTAGTATCATAGAAGGTTCTATTACATGAGTGTTATATGAATAAGTTCTCAGAGAGTTAGGTAGCATCAACATTCTTAGCAGTTAAAAACTTGTTTAGGAGAGTGACATAAAGGTAATACAAGCTAGAATAATGAGTAAAGTAGTGAATATAATGGAAATTTGTTATAAAGAATTGTCTTAACTAGATATGTAATACCTCTAGTATATGCAAAAGCTAGAATTAGAAGGTTCTGATTCTGTAGAGAGTTAGCTACTATCTAGAGCATGCATAATAATCTGAATTAGCAAGAAGTACTAAGCTAGTAGTGCAATTGCATATCTGAGTACAAGAGTATACTAATATTAAACACTAGCTAATATAGAAGTAAGTTAGAAGTAGTACTATATATTACGAATCTAGTTGAGAGTAACTTTGTTATAAAATATAGCCTATACTTTACCAACATATAAGAGTATCTGGTATTGATAGTAGTACTGTATATAAATACAGTTATACATTATAAATACTATATATCTAGTTTTGCAGTAGTTGTATTAGTTGTGAGTCTAGATTGAGTATTGTAAGCTAATTAGAAGGTATATAGGTTTAGATAACTAAACACTAAACAATAAGTTTTCTATGAAGATTACAATACTCTATATAATCTATAAATACCTATTTGGTATTATCTTTGTAGGAATATGAGTGATATAGTGAATACAGAAAAGGTGATCTAATAAGGATAGCTATAGCATAAATCCTGATTAAGACGATAGTAAGTTAGTCATGATTTAGGTCAAATATATCTTAAGGATAAATTAGTCCTAAGGTTATATATAGATATTAAAACTAGTTGTAATCATTATTTATAATAAATTTTAACAAAAATTTAATAAAATGTCTAGCCAAAGAGGTCACTTATAAAATAATAATAATAATAATAATAATAATGAAAATAACAATAATATTACTAATAAAATTAAAGATTTAAATTTAATATTAAATGAAAAAGATAAAATAGAACAAGAATTTATTAATAAATTAGTTAAAGTTTTAGATTAGTAATAAAAAAAGGATAAATGTATATATTGTATACTGCGATGTATTTATACATCGCATATATTTACAAATTATAATTTAACAACTAAAATAAACTAGTTTTTTGTTTAGTTAGAGTTAGGGTTATGTATGATTAGATGCAATAAACAGAAAGGATTTATAGTAAAAATTTTTAAGGTATTTTTTTTGTTAGAGTATAAAAGATAGTTTTATATGTGAAATTTTGAGTTATAAGTGACTTTTGTCAAAATGAATATTTGTTTGAATCTTTCTGATCATGCTACATTATACCTGATATAAAAATTTGATTAGTCAATCATTAATATACGATGTATAAGTATATCGCGAGGTTGCGATACCTAATTAAGTTCATAAAAAAATTACAAATATTATATTATATATATTATATTTCTTAAATTTATTTAAAATTTTAAATTTTTTAATAAAACTTAAATTATTTTTATTAACAATTTTATAATTTAATAATTTAATTATTTAAAATATAAATAATTTTTTAATTATAAAAAAAATATTTAATTTATAAAAAATATTTCTTGTTAATTACAACTTTCTACTTTTTCCTGTATTTTTAATTTTATAACAATATACTTTTATCTATATGTACTATACTAATTATTAAATAACTATATAACTACACAGATCTACTTCAATACTTGTAAAGAAAGATTAAAAGAAGTTAAGAAACAACTTTTCAACTACTAGCTTTACCACAAAAGTTGTTGTCAACTTTGTTGGCAATATCTAAAAACATGAGAAATACACAACTATCTCAAGATTTCTTTACCTCATATACTACAAGCTACTTTACAAGTATGAATACAACTAACAAGAAATCTAAAAAGAGGAAGACTGAACTACAAAATGAATCTTTAACCTAAACTCAAACACAACTCATTAAAAATATAGATACAATTGAAGATTTTAGCTTACCTTTATTAGATTTAATTATGATATTATCATTAACTAATACAACAATAATAATAAGCACAACAAGTATATTATTATCTAATAAGGATATAGAATATGCAAAAATTCCTATGCCATACTTTGCAATTTCTAGCACCCTTACTAGTTTCTATAACTCTATGCAAAGAGTCTAAACTAAAACTACAGAAACAAAGTCAGTTGATACTATACAAGAAGATAAAATACAAACAAGAATATATAGTCAAATATTAATAGGCAATACCTTAAATAGATTAAACTAACTCAAAGGAAGCAATACTAAATAAAAGCTAATAGATAATAGAGAAAGAGAATAGAAAGAAAGCTTAGAATTATCATTAGTAATATAAAGAGAAAAAAACTTTGTAGCCTTTAACATAACCTTATGGAATCATAACAAAATTATTAAAGTGTTAAGTTTTTCAGAAGTTATAAAGAAATTTATAGTATACAAACTCAATACTCTACCTAACCAAACTTATATTCTAGAAGCTATTAAAGCAAAGCTTTTCTATAAAGATACAGCTTTTTTTAGAACCTTTACTTATACTGTAGCTAATAGATCTTAACATCAAGTTGAATTTAATTCATTATTTAATAAAGCTCTTGAAGCATAAAAAAAACAATACAATATACTTCAAACAAACAAAAACAACTAAGACTAAATATTTGAAAAACTAAGAGCCAAACTTGCATTAGATTATCTAATATCATTAGACTTTAATATCATAGATACTTAGAAAATTACATACTATATACACTATCTATTTACCTTCTCAAAAATATCTCTTAAAGAAAAGACAAACTTCGATACACTAAGAAAAATAGTGTCTAGTACAATTGATGAAATCTATATTCCTCTACCAAAAAACTCAGAACAAATACTAGATTAACTTAAAAAAGCAATTCTATTTAATTTACTAATTACTAACAAAGCTATTTTGGCATCTGTATTAAGAATATTATGAAAACTATTTACTTTTGTATTAATACCTGAATTTTATATTAATAATACTAGACTTCCTTTACTAGAGTATTCATATCTACTAAATAAAGTATTAAAAGACATATTTCTAATTACTCAAAGAGCAAATTTAAAAAATTTAACTTCTTATTAAGACAAATTATAAAAATACTATATATTTTGAAGAATACTAGCTGACTATTTTGATCTACCTATTACAAAATCACTGCTACTACTTACACCTCAAGAGCTATCAAGCAGATTTCATAACTTCTTTCTATTTCTCCCAAGAGATGCAAAAGACTTCAAACAATATATTCATATGTTATATCAAGATTTTGCATTTACTAGGTTGCTAAATAACTACTTTATTTAATCTAAACATTTACT